GTTCGCCAGTTGAGGTCCAAGAGGATTTCTGTAGTAAAAGTCTAGTGGAGGGGCCAACCAGTCTAGGAAGTGACTTGGGAGGTCGAGGAAAACATGCGGAACAGATATCCACACTTATTCAGCACTTCAGGTATAATTCTAAACCCGTTCGAAGACGAGCGTTTGTTTAAGAGGTGGAGAATGTGATGACCCAAAATGTCATCTTTAAATTTAATAATTAATTATGTGTTCTAAGACCTCAAAAAGTACTATTTATTATTCCTCGACTTGCGTGCGCAATTCGTAAAGTTTTTTGGGAAGATTTTATGTGAAAAATGGATTAAAATGTGAATTAGAGCTTTAAAACTCAATTGAGCTGACTTTGGTCAACATTTTGAGCAAACGGACTCGGATAAGTGTTTTGACAATTCCGATAGGTCCGTATCGTGATTTGGGACTAGGGCGTATGCCTAGAATCAAATTCCGAGGTCCCTATCCCGAGATATGGAATTTTGATGAAAAATTAAAAGTTTAAATTTAAATATTGATCGGATGTCTAATTATGTGCAAACGACCTCGGAATAGAATTTTGATGATTTCAACAGCTCCACATGTTGATTTTAGACTTAAGAGCGTGATCAAAATTTTATTTGAAAGTCCGTAGTGAAATTAGGCTTGAAATTACTACAATAGGAATTTAAAGTTTGGAAGTTTGACCGAGAAGTTGACTTTTTGATATCGGGGTCGGAATCCAGTTCTGAAAATTTTTATAGCTCCGTTATGTCATTTATGACTTGTGTGCAAAATTTGAGGTCAATCGGAGTTGATTTGATAGGTTTTGACATCGAAGGTAGAAGTTAAAATTTTTAAGTCTCATTAAGCTTGAATTTGAGCATAATTCATGGTTTTACCATCGTTTTAGGTGATTTGAGGGTTCAAGTAAGCTCGTACGATATTTTAAGACTTGTTGGTATATTTGGTTGAGGTCCCGAGGGCCTCAGGTGAGTTTCGGATGGTTAACGGATCAAAAGTTGGACTTAAAAGGCTGCTGCAATTTTCCCTTCTGCTGTATATTCTGGGTTGTGATCGAGCCCCAGATCGAGCCCAGATATCGAGCCCACGATCGAGGCCTGAGTCGAAGCCAGGGATGGGGCTCAGTATTGAAGCCACGATAAGCCACAGGCTCGAGGGCTACAATCGAAGCCACGATCGAGGCCAATTCCGAAGGCTGCCTGGGCAGTTTATAAAAGAAGACATTCGTCCCAATTGCCATTTTTGACGAACTCGAGCTTGAGCAGAGGCGATTTTCAAGGAAAAAAAAATATTGGGTAAGTGATTCTAACTTGAATTTGGTCTATAAACATAAATATATCATTGTTCTCATCATTTAATTAGTGTTTTGAGATTGAATTTTGGGAAATTTTTGGAAATCTTATAGAAACGAATTTTTGAGATTTCGGTATCGATTCGGAGTCGGATTTGAGTGAAACTAGTATGATTGGACTCATAATTTAATGTGTTATCGGATTTCATAACTTTCGCCGAATTCTGAGACGTGGGCCCCACAGAAAATCTTTTAATTAATTTCAGGATTGTTTATTAAAAATATAGTATTTTCTTATAGAATTGATTCCTATAATTTTTAGTGATTGTATCGAATTATTTCGGCTAGATTCGAGCCAGACAGAGTTGGATAATCGTGGAAAAGGCCTTCTAGTGGATTAAATTGGAGCAAGACGAGGTAAGTCTCATGTCTAATCTTGTGAGAGGGAAATTATCTCATAGGTGATTAAAAATTAAATAATTGTTGCTAATTGTGGGGACTACGGACGTACGAGGTGACGAGAGTCCGTGCGTAGTTACTATTAAATGCTAAAGTCCATGTAGTTTGGGACTCAAAGTATGAATTACTTGTGTGAATTGTATTCTTTGTTTAATTAATATTATTTGATATATATACATATATATTGTGAATTGTTAGATAAAAATATTAGAGGATGGAAATCTCATATACTTGATTTTTTTTTTGTTCTATTTAAATTTATTTAATTGTTAAGAGAAATTGTTCTTCCTCCTGAATTTATCTTATAACAAATATACTCTCATTCCGGAGGTACATAAGAAAATGTCCGCCTTTCTTGTGGAGCGGGACAAACGTCTCGATAGGATAGATGCATCTATGGATCGTGCCGCACGATCCTCGGCAGTGTACACAATATTATGGATCGGGCCGAACGACCTCGGCAGAAATCGTGCTTAATAATAATAATAATAATAATTACACGATACATTGACGGTTTATTGTAGCTTGTAAAGCTATTTGATAAATTAGAAATTCATTGAAATTGAATTTCAGCTTGTAAAGCTATTTGATATATTGAAATTTTATTGAAATTGAAGGATTTAATATATATATACGGAGAATTATTGCATTTTGAAGGAATTTAATTATTTCTGCTGGTTAAATAAGTTATTGTTATATTCTGTGAATCATGCCGATTTAAATATTTTAGTATTATTTCAATTATTATTATTGACACATAGTGAGTGTCAAAGTTGGTCATCTTGTCTCTACCACTTCGAGATTAGGCTTGATACTTACTGGGTACACGTTGTTTACGTACTCATACTACACTTGCTGCATTTTTTGTGCAGGATCTGAGACAGGTACTAGTGGAGGACCTATCATCATATATCCACGTCATCCCGAGACATAGTGGTGAGCTGCCTTTCTGAGACGTTCTGCAGCTACCAGTATCTCTTCTTATATTTACATTCTGTCTATTTCATTTCAGACAGTATTCAGAGTTTTGTATAATCTATTAGATACTCATGCACTTGTGACACCGGGTCTTGGCACACATATTAGTAGAATTTGATATTTTATTATTTTCTTGGATTAAAAGTTTAATCAATGTACGTTTAATTTATCAGTTAGCTTGCCTAGCTGTAGTGTCGGGCGTCATCACGGCCTATAGATGAAATTGGGTCGTGACATATATAATCAATATATAATCTACTTATACCGACAAGAAAAAGTAAATATTAAATCTGACCAGCTATTTGTGCTATGGGTTATGGATTATAGAGAAGACAACTTATTGAGTTATGGATAAATTGTTTATACGAATTAAGAAAACTTTTAATACAAATACAAAATTTGGACTAAAATCAATGAGTTCTCCCAAACCCCCGAATAAAATTGTACTTCTCCATCGCAACATAGCACACAAATAGTCTGCATAGCCGAGGGTAGATATAGTGTTCTAGTGAAAGATTCAATTGAACTTGTAATTTTTGATATGGAGTATAAATTCATGTGTAAAAATTCATTAAAATTACATAAATAGTAAATATGAACTCGTAACTTTAAAAATATGATAAATATAATACTAAAAATTTAAAAATTGAACCTATAAAATTTAAATCGTGAATCTGCTTCGTGATTCTCCCAGTCACACTTACCCAGGCGCCAGCCTACTCTCCAAAATTTAATCTATTTTAAAAAAATACTTTCAATAAAAACACGTAAAGACCCATTGAAGTTATGGGATTTTATACCCTTACATCTCTTTTTCTGTTGAAATGTCTTCCCTCTCGGAAGTCGGAACTGCCTTGCTTCATGGAATTGAACTATCAAAATCAAATTGCGGCTTTGAATTGCGCGCACTTAACGTGACCTTTTTGTCGAGTCGGAATTTTCAGCGTCAGCCCCTTACCCGTTTGATTGGAAGTTGGAACAAGCTACCAAGTATGTTGAGTTCAACATAACATATTTACTTTCTTCATTCGAAACAAAAAGAAAAAAAAAATGTTCGAATTATGAGTGTCAAACCTCCTAATTTTCTTTCTCAATATGTATGTTTATATTTCTTAATTTTTTCAAATGAAATTAACGTAATTAGAAACTTTTATTTAAAGAACTACATGAAAACATTGTGATCAAGGAAAAAAAGGTTAAGTCTTAAGTTACTAATAAATAATAATGTCTTGTAAAGTAAACGAAATGAATAATATATATTACACGACATGATCAACTTTTAACTTATTTTAAATTCTTTTAATTTTTTTAGGCGCATCAATCTCCTCTCTTTTTTTTCTTTAAAATAAATTATATGTTGTTGTATTACTTTCTTTGTCTTTTTTGTTTTATCCTAACGCCATTATTTCTCCATGTTTTGTAGAGTGCTAGTATAAGTTATGCAGTGATTTGTTTTAGTTTCTAAGAAACATCAGTATATTTCCAACAAGTAAAGCTAGCTGCTGTTCTTCTTTTGCACCCAATCCATGTCTTTAAATTGTGATTACAGCAAATTTTATTTGTACGTAACATAATTTAGCGGTCAATTTTGATCCCTAAAACATAACTTATTTAATCCTTCTAAATTTTAACGGGTAATTAGGTAGGTGATAGTTTCGATCAAATCGCACAAATACAAATTGTTGGGTCAACTTGAGATACGTTAATAGCCAAAATCAAGCCGTAAATGAGCTCTGTCAAGGGAATATAGAGAAAGAAAAACACAATTAAATAGTTGATAATAGTATTTTTATTTTAATTTTAGAACACAAGTCAATCGTATAGCAATTAATTTCTGAGTAAGTTAATCCGCGACTCATTCATCGACATATTTTACAATTATTATCCAAATCTGATCTAAAATTAGTTATTTCGAAATAAAATCTTGATAAAATTCTTAGAATCTAATCAACGAAATGGTAGGTATATAATCACCAGCTAAGCAAAAACCAAGACACAATCATTAAGAAAACCTTGCATCATAATTTATGCAGAAAATCAGATTAAAATACTTATATTGAAACAACCACTCTCCATTTTCAACTTAAATAATGGAAAGTCATCTCGATCAAACATCAATTTTCATTTTATATAATCTTGAAAATAATTATGTACAAAAGAAGGATATTCTTCAATCAATTATCTTACAATTTTGTAATCGATATTTGATTAGTTAATTATATTTACGGATTTACCCCCCTTCATATTGAACGGTCAACGTCTATTCGTCAACGTTAACGGCGCCCTCGAGTTTCGTCACCGTTTGCACCGCCGTTTTCACGTTCCTCATGTCACCAACCGTTAAAACTCCGGCAACTTCATCTCTAACGTAAACTTTCTCAACGCCACTGCCACTGATTCCCAACACCTTTCCAGTACCCCACTCGGCACATATCGCCGGCGACTGACGCTTCATTCTCGTGTCATAAGCAGCTAAAACGACGCCGTTTTTTTCATCTCTCACTTCTGACGACAGAACCGTAAAATCGCTTATATTAAAAGAGTCATTAAAGTCTAAACCTAACGTTAAACTATCCCACAACTTTACGACGCTTTTACCGGCAGCAAATTCCTTAAAGGGAAACCGTTCATGGCTGCTCCGTCGCCGTCTGATTCTTAAATTACTTTTTTGGCCTTGCTCTTTGAAGTAGAAACTCGAACCTGCAACTGAAAAATCTTCATCAACTGGTGTTAACTCTTCATCGTTTGATGAAACCGATGAGCATTCATCGTCGTCGTCATCATCTGAGAAGTCGAAGTCTTCGCTTAGATACTGAAGAAGAGGCTCAGCAGAAGGCTTTATTTTACGAACGTAAATGAATAAAAGCTTGTTTTTTCTTATTAAGCTGCTGAAAGAAGCAACAATGGCAAGAACTAGAGCACCCCATTTGCAGAAACTGTACACTTGGGGAACCTTTTCGATTGCTGAAAGAGAAAAAAATTGGGAAATTAAAGATGGGTTTTGTAGAAATTTTACATCAGCTTCAAAATTGCTGATCATACTGATGAAGAAAGGTATAAAGAAACTGTATGATAAAATGCTTGAAAGAAAACTAGGATAGAAAAAGGAGATTGATTGATTATACAGAAACTGTTTGATAAGATGCTTGACAGAAAACTAGAACAGCAAAAGGAGATTGGTTTGGAAAAGTGAAAGGGGCGGGGCGGGCTATATATATAGTGGAGAATTGGGACGCGGTAGAGGTTAGAAGAAATAAAATAGGATGTTCGGTTTTGTTAAAAATGACGTGGAGGATGATATTTGGATGAAGAAGTGAAATTTGGTGGGGCACGCGAGAAAGAACATGAACTTTAGGAAGATAAGAAAGATTGGGATAAAAGTTGAAAAGTAAGGGCATATTCAAGAGATTCCAGGATACAATGAGAGATCATAGAGTTAGGTCATTAGTGACTCAGCTGCTGAGGATAATGCCCATGTTTTTTTTAATAAGGTTTGATTCAGCTGGCTATAAAGACTTGTCGCCTGGTCATTTCACATTTGAATTTTCCTTAGAAGGTTCAAGCTCCAGCTTTTTGTGGTAATTCTTGAAAAGTGTTGGATTTAGGGTTCGAGGTCTTGAAAGCAACCAATAATGTTTGTATTAGAGGAGTACAACCTTTCTCGAGACCATGTGTAATGCCAGGGCGGCTTTTCAGCCATGCCCATGATCCCTTGGACGCGTCCCATGGCGTCCTGGCAAGCCTCCCAACGCCTAGCGTCATAGTCGGCCACGTGGTTTTGATCGCGCCAAGTGACAAGCGCGCCTGTACCTATGTCGCCCCACCGATAGCCCTCGCTGGCGCCTAGCCGCAGGCAGATGTCAATAGTACCGCGCGCGCAGACCCTGATGCTAAAAACAAGGTTGCTGCCAACGGACCGGCTTCTATTTTGTAGGAATCTAAGTCCTTTTCATTACAAATATAGAGCAATTTTATTTCATGTATTTCCATTATGTCGCTCTAGCTTAGGTAGGTCAAGTCATGTAACTTTAGTTTATTTTTTTTAAGCACTATTAGGGGGATCAATCAATCAAACTTTCTAGCAAGCAAACAATTCTCTGTACTGGTGTCTCTCCCCATCGACACCGTGTTGCTTTTCTGTAATAGCTTTCATTAATGCAATCAAGCTTCCTTTCATTCTCAATTCTCATTTATGTTCTCTCAATTCCTCTTGACATTGGTTTTTCCGTACAACACTGACAATCTCATCTAGCGTACGGAGGGGACCTCAGTTGGCGGATAGTAACTGCACTGGTATCAGTTGCTTAGCCTTACGTCGGCCTTCCAAGGAATCTCAGGAAAACGCCGTGTAACAGTAAATGCGGAATGATGTGTGGGCGTCATTAGCTACAATTAACTTTTAAAAAACTTGCATGTTCAATAATTTTGCATACAATAGTGTATAAAAGTTATTCACTCTTTGTATGACTCCATAAGCAAAGAAAAATTGAAATACTATTAGGGGTCATTTAGTTCGAAGACTAGTTATACATAAATTAGTAATGCAGAAATTAATAATATATAAATTATTTTTTGTTGGGTGTTTGATTCATTGCACTAAAATTAGGTACAAAATATCATCTAAACTATTTGTCTAGTTCTTAACTAATAAATAATTAATTTACAACTATATCCTAGGATATTTGGTCTTTGTAATGCTTCTTGGAAAAAGACAAAAAAATAGTTTTGTCCTTAGTGATGCTTTATCCATGTACAGCATACACATGAATTAGTTATTTCATTTTGGTGGTGGGATAAAATAATAGATCGATTGATGTATAAAATAATACGTGAATTAGTTATTCTGCATTTAAAATCACAATCAAATTGTGTATTAACTCAACACAAATTCTTAAATCATAATTAATTGTGTTATACAGTATACCAAACAACCCCTCACTCTTTGTCTAGTCTACTCAAGTTACGTCCCTCATTTATAGATGTTGGCAGGGCGGACCCACCTTATAGGAAGGGGCGAAATTAAAAAAAAAAACTAGATTTACGAGTGGTAATTGAAAAATAGTCATAATTTTAAAAGTAATCGAAATTTAGTTACTTTTCATGTAAAGATAAATCTTATCGAAAACACTGTTCAAAATCCGGAAAATACTCCAGCATAATATACTGTAGTTCAAATTTTTACATGTGAACTTCCAGCACAATATACTGGAGTTCCAGCATATTACGCTGGAACCTTTTGTGTATATTATGCTGGAACTCTTCGTGTGCTGGAGTTCCAACATAATATGCTGGAAGTTCATACATAAGTGCTCCAATCTCCAGTATATTATGCTTGAACTTTTTGTGTGTTGGCAACCAAAAGAAATATTTATAATAAGTGCATAAGTGCAGTACAAACTACAATGTGTTAACATATTCTATCATATAGCAACAGATGTTAACAAGTCTGGTAAACTAAAGTGTAGTACAAACTAATGAGGGAGTCGAATCAATTTATCAGGTTTGGCCGTTTGGTATTCACAAGACTAGAATTGTTCAAAAAAAATTTATTTGGTTTAGCCAATAAACCGTCCGATAATCGTTAATTCGATACCAATCCGTTCGTTGTTTTATTAAATGACTAGCGGATTACTACATTTATAATCCAATAACCGATAAACCAAACCGCTAAGCGTAATTATCCGCCCGATAAGCACCCCTAGTTCCAACATAATATGCTGGAAATTCATACACATGTGCATCAATCTCCAATATATTATGATGGAACTTTCCATATTGCAGCAAAATATAACTCCATTTTACTTTTAAAAAAATTCAGTTCTGTCAAAGCATCAAATTCAAATAATTTTGTATTTTGTTTTTGTTTTCCTACTTCTCTTTATGTTTTCTTTTCTTTGCTTAAATCCAATAAAAGCTATTCATGTTAACTCCATTTTACTTTTAAAAAAATTCAGTTCTTTCTACAAAGTAAATTTTGGTTCTCTCTTTCATAATTTTTATAAAACGTGAGAGTGCTTTATCAAAATTACTTGTAATCTTTTATTTTAGTTTAGTTTAATTTATATTGAAATTGTTAATTTGTGCTATACTGAAAATTTTATCTTGTTGTACAATTATATTTCTTTAATTATTTATATTAGTTAGTTTAGTTTATAAATCTTTTCTTTCAGTGTCTTGTTTGTAGCAACTTCGAAAGTCCCTTTCGAAGCTTTTGTTTACTTGCCCATCTTAAAGTAGTAGTGCCCAACATTTTTCTCATTCATCTCTAACCACAAAAATACAGTAACTTTAACCGTCGAATGCTGTGGTTACATATTTCTTTTTTGTTAAAATTGCTAAACTTGTTGAATTTTATTTTCCCCAACTTTTTTAAAAAAAAAAATGAAATTATTTTAGGTTATGTGATTAACAAAAAAGAGTTGTGCGGAACTTCTATTTACCGATACACTTATACAATTGACTATTGTACGCTTATACAGTTGACTATCATAATTTTTGACTGAACCTGCAGCTTGTATAAAATCTTAGAGTTCGTCACAGGACGTTGGTATTAATGACAGACGAAAAAATTGTTTTTTACCGCTAGTGTGTGACATAAAATTATCAAAGGATAAAATTTTAAATAGACCCATTAAAATAATTAAAGACCAAAAGAGTGAAAAGACAACCAAAAAAAGAAGAAAAAAGGATAGTAAATTCCTTAGCATGTAGGTCTCATTTATCACCCTCTTCCTTAACAACCCACAGTCCCACATGTAATGCAGGAGCTCATCAATAAAAGAAATTAAGAGGCTCATAATTATGCATTCACTTTGCCAAGAGAGAATTTCCCTTTTTTGAACAGAGAAAAAAAATTGGAAAAAAAAGAGAAAGCAGAAGGGATATTAAACCATGTGTGAAAAAGAAAAGTAACATGTAACATGTGAAATAAATCAAAAATTGACTGACATTAGTGAGTAGGACTGCACGTGAATGTTAAGCTTTTTATTATTGATAAATTCATACTTTTATAGGAATATTTTATTATATTATTTTATGCGAGTTTATAGGAGTTTTAACAGTTTTCCGCTTAAGAGTCTTTAGAAATATATATTTAGTAAATAATTGAGGAAAACAAATTGAGTTGGATAACATTTTCTCTAAATGATTTTAGACAGATATCCAATGAGATATATTTTCGAAACGTAAAAAATTAAAACTGTAACAATCACTTAAAACTTTCAATGTCATTAATAAACCCTACGGTGTTAAATCTTCTCCCGAAAGAGTATTAACAGAATAAGTTTAAACAATATCGATACAAGAACAAAAGACAAAAAGAAAATGAAGTAAATTATAATTTTACCTCTGAATAAGAAATAGCATAAGATAAAAGGAGTTGTATATCATTTTTCTATATAATAGTAAGGGGGCAAAATATGTGGAATTTTGCGAAAAAGTTTTATATATTATAAGTTTCTAAAACAGGATTGGTTTCTGTTTTTTTTACATATATATTCCAAATGAGTAAAAATCATTTACACCCCGAATTATACTTTATAAATCAAACTCCTATTCTTCCTGAATTATACTTTATAGACTTTTAAATGCCTATTTGAACTTCTATATTATCAACATTTATCTCTTTTTATTTTTATTTACCTTTTTAGTATCACGATATTTTTTTCTTTTCTAATATCTATGCTATGAACTTACCTATATAATTACTAAATTTTATTTTCAAAAATAATAAAATAAAAATAATAATCAAGCATATAGATCTTGAATACAATAAAGGACGAGCAGAATAAAAATTAAAATTTAATAATTTTCCCTTATCAATAATTTTATTAATAGAAATCAAATTTTAAAAATCTATTTACCTAATCAGAATAAAAAAAGGTGAGAACCTTATAAATATATACTCAATGCAGGTATATACAAAGTTGGGAGATATAAATAATTTTCATCCTATTTCAAATATCTTCAGAATTATACTTTTTTTTTTAAAAAGGTATTTCCTCTGACGGCCAACATCCTTTTATGCACCAAATTTCTTTTAAAAAAGAAAACAAGGCTGAAACATGTCACGTGCATGATATATGATTTTAGAGGGGGAAATTTAAAGAATAACTCAATAGAAGAAAAAAGAGGAACATATATTTTTTCACCCTCTTCCCAAACATACGCACGTGCTAGGCAGAAACTCAATAAAGAAGGAATTACTAACATATATTATATGCAGTGTAAAATTACTTTACATATGAGAAAATTTTAATAAATTATAGTAGGTAACTTAATTTGTCTCTAAGTTAATCGTTTAATATTGCTGTAGAAAAAACTTTGGAAAAAAGGGAGAAAGCAGAAGGAGATTGTATAAAAATAGGATAGCCCGATACATAAACTTACAAAATATTTTGCATTCACGAAGGGTTCAGGGAAAGACTATAATGAGTGTAATATAGGCAGTCTACCTTGACGTACGCATCAACGGCTGATGTTACGGCTCGAACGCATGACCTATATATCACACAATAATTTTACCGTTGTTTCAACACTCCCGTCAAAGAGGATTCTATCATGTGTAAAAAGGGGAAGTAACATGTAACATGTAACATGTGAAAGACACTATAATTTGACTTCTGGCATTAGGGAGTATGACTATAGGTGAATATTATTAGCAATATTTTAAAAGGCGTGGGCGTAAGGCGAGACGTTTCACCTATGCCTCAGCGAGGCATAAGCCCATAAGTATTTAATTTTTAATATTTTATAAAATAATA